TAGCGCTTGAGAGCATTCCTAGGATGGGTGACCCATCGGGAAGTTCTCGTGTGAGTTCCCAGAAACAAAACCGTGAGGGCGTGGTCGGGGCCTAAAGCGGACAATATCGTGCTACGGTGGTGGAGTGGGCTCGGGAAGTGGTCCCCTCGGGCCGGGATGTGATAATTTGGTATCAGAACCTAACACTGGCCGTGGTGTGCCGACGAGGACGTCGGGCCCCTAAGGGGGGTGGATTGTGACATCCCACATCGCCCAGGGGAGTGATCCTTATATGTATATTTTCATCCCTACCTAGCACGAGGCCCTTTAGGAGCTCACTGGCTTCGGGTTCCATGGGAACTCCGAAGTTAAGTGAGTAGCGTGCGAGAGCATTCCCAGAATGGGTGACCCATCGGGAAGTTCTCATGTGAGTTCCCAGAAACAAAACCGTGAGGGCGTGGTCGGGGCCCAAAACGGACAATATCGTGCTACGGTGGTGGAGCGGGCCCGGGAAGTGGTCCCCCCCCGGGCGGGGATGTGATATAAAATGATTATCAAATATGTCGTAAATTAATTTTTAGTTGGGAAGTGATTTTCGCACACTATTTTTACTTCTCACAACTCAAAATTCACATATCCCTCTTTCTTTATGATCGTCGGATTGAATAAATCATATAAGTAGCCACCAAGATTAAACACGGTGTGTAAGAGATTAAAAAAAGTGTAAAAATCACTTCTCTTTTCAATTATTTACATTAGAGATGGTCTAATTTCTTATTAAAAAAAATAAAATGAAAAGTCTTATGTCCAAAAGAAAAAAGAATCTCAATATAATAAAAGAAGCTGAATATTCATTTATTAGTTTTTCCAACCACATCTAACGCCAATTGCAACAATAAAATTTTAAACGGCGCGTAGTAGTAAAGGTCATGAACTTTGTGCCATGTTTAATTTTCATCCATGGACTCTCATATTAGTTTTTAGGGGTGGAAAAATATACCGAATATTCCAAATCGAAAAGAAAAAAAATTCCGAAACCGAATCGAAAAAATACCAAACCGAAAATCTCGAAAATTTCGGTACCCAATACTGAACTGATCCCAAACTTTCGATACGAGAATCAGTCTCACATTTTCATTTGTTTGGTAATCCCGAACCGAACCAAAGTAAAAAAAAAAAATTATTTAATTTTAAATATATATTTGGAATTGTAACGGTCGTCGGCCATCAGATTTGGTTAAGATCTAATCTCAACCATTGAATACAAATCAAACCCTTAGAAACTCAGTCACTCTCTCTCCATCTCTCGACTCGACCTCACCTCACCTCCCTCCACTCCTAGCCGATCTCTCTCCGTCTTCAAATCTGGCCACACCCACATCACACAAGTGACTCACCTCTCTCTCGACTGACCTATCAACTATCGAATCTCTCCCTCTCTCTCGATTTCTCATCCCTCAAACCCTCACTGTGGATGAGCCTTCCTTCATGACATAGAGGCAGAGTTATATTGGAATTTGGATATAATAACATATTGGATACGTTATTGCATTTGAATTGGATAAGTGATTTATTGTATTGAAATTTGGATATATGCTGAACTGTGGTTGTGATACATTAATGTGCATTGTTATTATATTTGTTAGGATGGACGGGTCAGGTAGCCAATCTATTACACCTATGGTCTCGGTATTAGGAAAACGAAAACAAATCTAACCTAGTGGTACCCTTCAACTAGGCACTCCCTCACCTCAAGATTATCTGCATGATGATTATTATGAAGATTGTTGGGATGATGATCCGAATGTGGATGAGGATATTGCATTAGAACAAGTAAAAGAACAGGGAGAAGAGAGGGAAGAGGGGGAAGAGCCATTTTAGTTTCTGCATGGGGACATGCCATTTTATATGCTGCATTATTGGTTCGATTGAGACCTATAGCCAACCACCAATACTCCTCAGTACAACTCGTGTTTGAACATCAGCTAAACATTTCACATTTACGAGCTTTTGGTTGTGTTGTTTATGTGCCTATTACACCACCGCAACGCACTAAAATGGGACCTCAGCGTAGACTGAGAATTTATGTGGGTCTTGATTCACCATTTATCATTAGATATTTGGAACCCCTAACAGGTGATATGTTTACAGCTAGTTTTGCTGATTGTCATTTTGATGAGATAGTCTTCCCTTTGTTAAGGGGAGAAAAGACTGTTCCAGAAGAACGGCAATAGCTGACATTGGTTGTACACACCTTATCTCATTTTGATCCACGTAGCACTCAATGTGAAAATGAAGTGAAAAGGATTGTTCATCTTCAAAGTATTGTCAATCAAATGCCAGATGCATTTAATGATGCTATGAAAGTGACGAAATCACATATACCAGCTGCAAATGCACCTGCAAGAATTGATGTCCCTGTTGGACAAAATAAAATGGTAACGAATGATTCATCTGGTGCACGCCTGAAGCGTGATAGGCCCCCAGGTTCAAAAGATTCAGCCCCTCGAAAAAGAAAGACAATGACACAACTGAATCCAAATGAAATCATTCAGGAAGAGAAAATGAATGAAAAATCTGCAATTTATGATTCTGTACTTCCATAAAAAGAAAAGGTCCTTGATGAGACATATATCCCTGAAAAGACAGCATTACATGAAAGCAAAGAAATCTCCATAAATTATGCATGTACAAATGAATTGTGGAATCAGAATGAAATAATCATCGATGATATGTTTGCATTTGTAGTAGTCACTGAAATCATATTAAGTGATGATATTGAACAACGCTCTGTTGATGAATGCAAATAGAGACAAGATTGGCCTAAGTGGAAAGATGCAATCTAGGAATAATTAAATTCCTTGGAAAGGCGAAGTGTTTTTGGACCAGTAGTCCAAACTCCGCTTGATATAAATCCCGTGGGTTACAAATGGGTACTAACAAGAAAACGCAATGAGAAAAACGAGATTGCAAGATACAAAGCACGACTTATTGCACAAGGCTTTTCACAAAGACCTGGAATTGATTATGAGGAGACATATTCTTTTGTAATGGACGCAATTACATTCTGTTACTCAATAAGTTTAGTGGTTTCAGAAAAGTTTAACATGCGACTTATGGATGTCATCACTGCGTATCTATATGGAGAATTAGATACTGACATATACATGAAGGTCCCATAAGGACTTAAGTTGCCTAAAACAACTAACAAACCACGATGTATACTCTCGATCAAATTAAGACGATCATTGTATGAGCTGAAAAAATCTAGACGAATGTGGTATAATCGTCTCAGTGAATATTTGATCAAAGAAGGATATATCAACAATGTCATTTGCCCTTGTGTGTTCATTAAGAAATCCAATTCTGAATTTGCTATAGTGGCAGTATATGTTGATGATATGAACCTAGTTGGAATTCCTGAAGAGCTCAATAAAACTGCTAAATCTGAAAAGCGAATTTGAAATGAAAGACCTCGGGAAAACAAAATATTGTCTCGGCTTGCAGATCGAGCATTGTGCTAATGAAATTTTGGTCCACCAATCAGCTTACATTGAAAAAATCCTAAACCGATTTGGCATGGACAAGGCTTATTCACTCAGCACACCAATGGTCATTCGTTCTTTGGACATTAAGAAAGATTCATTCCGTCCAAAAGAAGATGATGAAATGGTCCTTGGTCTAGAAGTACCATATCTGAGTGCAATATGTGCTTTATTGTACTTAGCGCAATGTACTAGACCAGATATAACTTTTTCAGTTAACTTGTTAGCAAGGTATAACTCTGCTCCAACAATGCGTCATTGGAAATGAGTCAAAGATGTTTTGCGATACCTTCGTGGGACAACAGACATGGGTCTCTTCTACTCAGGAAAATCCACAAATGACCAGATCCTTACTGGATATGCAGATGCTGGTTTCCTCTCTGATTAGCATAAAGCCCGCTCACAAACTGGATATGTGTTCACTAATGGAGATACAACAATCTCATGGCGCTCAACAAAACAAACATTAGTTGCTACATCTTCAAATCACTCAGAAATACTTGTTTTACATGAAGCAAGTAGTGAATGTTCTTAGTTAAGATCAATAATCCATCATATCCGGAATTCATGTGGTTTACCTTCGAAGATAGACAATCCAACTGTCATCCATGAAGATAATGCAGCCTGTGTTGTCCGAATGAAGGAATGATTCATTAAAGGCAATAAGACTAAACACATATCGTCAAAGTTTTTCAATGCACATGAGTTTCAGAAGGCTAAAGTTATTAAAGTAAGACAAATCCGTTCTAATAAAAATCTGGCAGACCTGTTCACTAAGTCTCTACCAAAATGCACGTTTCAGAAGTTAGTGCAGAGTATCGAATTACATCGACTTACCAATCAACTAAATTCGAAGAAATCGGAATTAGGGGGAGATAAATATCAGGGGAAACATCTATGATACATGCTTGTTGTACTCTTTTTCCTTCGACTAGGATTTTTCCCACAAGGTTTTTCCTATTAAGGTTTTAACGAGGCAACATAAGTATACTTAACACTATATCAACAATCCAGGTAAAGTTATACTCTTTTTCCTTCGCTATGCTTTTTTTCCACTGGGTTTTTTCGAGCAAGGTTTTAACAAGGCAACTGATGTTGTTGATATGTAGGCATCCAAGAGAGGTGTTATAGAATTAGTAGATGAATGCCCACTCAAAAGAATGCCCACAGACTTAGTAATAGTGAGTAATAGTGTTTGATACTTTCAAAAGTATCATCATTGTATTTTGATGGTTGTAGTTACGAGAGTCGCTCAATAAATAGAGCACTCCGTTTGTTATCAAATGCACTGCGAAAGAAAAGAAGAGAAATAATATCAGTATCATTTCCTCTTTTTATCTGCCATCTCCTTTGTGTTATAGCTACTAAAATCATAATGTAATATTTTACACCTACTTCGCTCATGTCCTTAAAAAGATTACCTTTTTAACTTTTATCTATTTATAACGCAAAACTATTAATAAAGTTAAACTAAACTACAGATCAATCTTCTTTGCTACAGTTTAGCCAATTTTAAGATATCTACAGAAATCCATTTGCACGTTACACTTACAGATACTACCCAACTCTTCCACCTACATGATCGCAACCAGAGATCTGCGACTCTGCAATGGCTCTGACTCCATGGCCGTACCTCCTCCAGCTCCCACTCCACTCTTCCGCCCACTCCTCTCAGCGCTTCTTCTCCCAATTGCGAAAGACCGAAATCTCTTTCATCTCTCCGATTCCGGTCAAGCTCTCCCCCTCGGTCTTGCCGAGACCCAAGTGCTTTGGATCGGCCACCGAGGAGGACCGCTTCAGCGACACCGAAACCATCTCCGATGACGAAGCTAGAACCAACGACGTCGTTCCGGTCAACAGCCAACACCAAACGACGGAGACGAGTGGTGGTTCGTCAAGGGTTGCGACGTCGTCTGCCGGTGACTCTTTGCTCGGAATTCGCGAGCCAGTATACGAGGTCAGTTGCAAGCCAATTTCGTTATCTGTTAATTGCAGTTATAGACTGTGATTAATGCACTAATCAACATGATTAAGCAATACTATTATTTAATTATTTTGTAGGTGGAAGAAGTGAAGGCTAATGGGACGATATCTATTAGAAAAATAAATAGACGTCAGCTACTGAAGTCAAGTGGTGAGTAAAGTTACGTTTGGAAATGCTTCTTGGAAGTACTTCAAGGGCTTCTATCAATCCAGAAGCACTTTTAATTTTATTTTTTATGCCAAACATTATATGAAGTGCTTTTGGTGTTCTAAAAACGCTTCTAGTTATTTTAAAAGAACTTCCAAACAGTTTGTAAAATACTATGTTCTTTATACTGCTCTTTGAAGTTAAACTGATGTTAGTTATTTCTAGTGCTGTTTTCGGGTTACTGAGTGTTAACTTTCGTCCTCAGGTCTTCGTCCGCGTGATATTCGGAGTGTTGATCCTTCATTGTTTCTGACAAATTCGATGCCTTCGTTGCTGGTAGGATTCCAGCTTCCAATTTTTGTATTTCTCGCAAGTTCTTGCAAATTGTAATGCTTTTGTGTGTGTTATTACCTGTATAAAAGTTTAAATTTTGGTAAGTGGGTTACTGTCTTACTAAATGGCGGATATTTATCATACTTACGAGCTTCTTTCGGTTCACCTCTTAGGTCCGTGAGCATGCTATTCTGTTGAATCTAGGCTCATTACGCGCAATTGCAATGCAAGAGCGTGTCCTTATATTTGACTACAACAAGTGAGAGCAGAACAAGATATTGCACCCATTGACTTCTAATTTTGCCTTATCCAGTTCAAAGCATAATACTATTGGAAATTTTGCATGTGCAGTATAGGAGGCAGAGCTTTCATAGAAGCATTGTTGCCTCGACTAAACCCCAAACTTATGAATGGAGGACCATCTATGCCATTTGAGCTCGAGGTTAGCATTCTTGTCCTGATCCCTCTCTCACTTCAAGCGAAGTCACTATTTTTGCTTTGGAATTTAAGCATAACATTTCTGTTTTTTAATATATGTTATTAGTGTGTGTATTACAAATTTGCAAAAGGTCTGCTTGTAGATATCTTACACAAAGATGATTCCTAGAAATGCTACCTTGTAAGTTTCTTCAATTATTAGCCCATTAGGGTTCAGTTCTGGAGAATTTGAATAGGCCTGGAGTTTGCATTGGAATATGCTGATATCGTGATATCTCCAGTCTTTATTTTATTGCAGTATTTTATGCCTTAAAGGAACTCTAATATGGCTGTCGTTTGCATTGGAAAGAATTGCAGGGCCAAATATATAACTGAATTGAAGTTTTAATGCAAACACCAATCTTTATTTTATGACTGGCTTCAAAGATATATTAGTCCTTAATTTGGTATTTTGTATGTTGCATACCGTTACTAAAAATCTCTTTAAGAAATAAGAATCTAACTTATTGGAAGAAATATTCGTCCTATAGGGGAGAAGCATTCATACTCATATGATCAAAACTTGTCTCAAAGTCTCTTATCATTTTTTTAACTGTATTAAGAGTGCAAATCAACCGCTTAAGATCATATTGGAAGATTATAGTGAGTGACTTCCAGTTGTGGATGTCACAGGTGCCCAAATCTGTGGGGGGTTTCTAGATGAAGAATGCATCTTTTAGGAACCTGACAGCTTGTGGCATGCAGTGAACTGCATCTAATACAAATTCAATGACAACTAAACTGAGACTAAAACTGAAAGACAAAGCTTTCTGTTTTGGTTAACGTGTGACTGCTTCGGATAATATCAAATTTCAAAAGGAGGATACACTGTTTTGAGTTTAATGTTTCATTGTATCTCCTTTCTCAATAAATTAGAATAAACTGTAGGTTTTCAATAACAAGGCTTACATCAAGGACCGATTTCTGTGTTACTTATCTTCATTTACTGAAAAGGTTGGCAAGAGGTAAAATGTGACCTTTTGCGTTTATATGATTCATATTCCTTGTCATGCATATACTTCCTATCTTTTCACCTAGTAGGCTTCTGATTCTCAATTTATCAGAGTGCTGAATGAAAAACATATTTTGTGATTTTGGTACTTTCAGGTTGTTGAAGCAGCATTGCTCTCAAGAATACAGCGTTTAGAACAAAGACTAATAAATTTAGAACCTCGTGTGAGTATGGCTAGATAGTGAGTGTTTTAATATTCTTTTTCCTAAGGTTTTCTCAGCAATAACTGTCTTAAAGCTAAATATATTCTCTATGTATTTAGCTTACAGCTGTCGAGAAAAAATCAGTAGGTTGAACAATCTAAACATCACATGTTATGTTACCTTTGCTAAGAAATATGCTGATCATATTTATACAAATGCTGCATGGTAATGATTTATATGATTAAAATTGCCTATTGTCCAGGAAAAATAAAGGATTTCGTGATTCAAGTAAAATAGAAATAATTTCGTATACTTGTTTTGCAGTATGGATGATACATCTCTCTGTCTCCCCCTCCCCCCAAATAAATATCTATATTTTTTTTTTCTTTCAAATTCTGTGGTTCAAGTGTTATCATGTTTAGTCTCCTTCAATTTGCTTCAGGTTCAAAATTTACTTAGCGTTTTGCCAAACCGGTTAACTGCTGATGTACTGGAAGAGCTTCGTATTAGCAAGCAAACCTTGGTATGGTTGATCATTTTGACTTAATGGTAAACCCATGTCTATGGGCATTGACAAACATTAGTATTAATCTGGTTACCTGTCCTTTGTTAATGAAAGGTTGAATTGGGTTCAAGGGCAGGGGCGCTCAGGCAAATGCTGTTTGATCTGTTGGAGGATCCCCATGAAATACGCCGTATATGCATTATGGGGAGAAACTGTACACTCAATAAGATGAATGATGACATGGAATGTTCTGTTCCTTTAGAGAAGCAGATTGCCGAAGGTTAGTCTTAGATGCGAGTTCTGTAATTTACTTGAGCAATGTATAAGTTGCAAATTCAGTCAATGAGCTAAGTGTATCTTTGGTTTGATTTTGTTATATACAGAAGAGGAGGAAGAAATTGAGATGCTTTTGGAAAATTATCTTCAACGGTAGGCTCCTCCTCACCTTCCCCAAACAAAGACAATTTTTTTTAGCACTAACTGATACTGATGCATTTGTTTTTTCTATGCTGTGGTACAACTAAAAAGCAGCATTATTTGAAACTTGTGCTATGATGTTCACCATGGAAGTTGACCTTAGTGCTTGTTGCATTCGCAGATGTGAATCTTGTCATGGCCAGGCTGAAAGGCTTCTTGATTCTGCTAAAGAAATGGAAGATTCTATAGCTGTCAACTTGAGGTCTGAATGTTTTTGTCGTTTTTGATTTGTTTATAGCTCTATACTGTTTGTCTGGATGTGAAACTTTAATTGATCTTGTTGTTAGACAACCACAAAATCTGAAACATTTAAGTTGTTAGAAAATTGGGCCAACAATGTATATGGATCAGCATCCTCTTCCACGTGCAGCCCCATCCTGCACATAGAGAGGCAAACATAGACGCAGAAAAGAAACACATAGGTACCCATTCGGCTCACCTTACAGCCTCACCCTCAGCTGAATCAGTATTAGTTAAAAGTTTCATATATAATCCTAAAACAAAAAAGTAAAGATTTCCCCATTAGTTCCTCATCTGTTTGCACTCTCATACTCAACTGGATTGAATTTTGCTCACTGTGTGCTTTCCATTTATCTAATGCCAATTTTAACTGATTTCATTTACAGTTCTCGGAGGCTCGAGGTTAGCAAAGTGGAATTACTACTCCAGGTTGGGACATTTTGTTTGGCACTTGGCGCTCTGGTTGCAGGTGTGTCCTTAACCTGCTACAAAACCTATCTCTTACCTGTATTAGTTGCATTGTGTTGTTAAAAATGTTCCAATGGGTTCGGGTGCGATTCTATTTGTTTCCAGTCTCTCCCTGTTGTGGAAAATTTACTACATAACTTTCCACGTGGAAAATTCTGATGTCCATATATATTCCTATATGCAGTTATCTATTAATTTTGAATCAATCAAAGCTTTTAGACAACAAACTGGATTTTGACATGTCTAAGAACTCGTTTGGATGTGCTTTTGAAATGATTGAAAGTGCTTTTGGTGAAAATGTTTTTGAAACCAATTCTTAGTAAAAATGCAAGTAAATTCTGGAAAGCACTTAAAGTGCATTTGGAACCAAAAAATATTTTCTCTAAAAGCGCTTTCAATAATTTTAAAAGCACATCCAAACGAGTCCTAAGTTGTTTCTAAGAATGTCAATGGTTTCTGTAGGCCAAGAAACTAAAAAAACCTAGTGCTAGAGGTGGTAGATAACATAGATTTCTTGTTCGTTCTTACCGTAGAAATATAGTCATATTTTGGAGTCGTCTCAAAGCAGAAGAGTTGAATGGTGCAATGGTTGTCATTTTTTTTTTTAAAGGAAACTGTTATTGGCACTCCAAAAAATCTCATTTTGCACTCCTTCACAAGTGTATTTTTCTTTCTAAATATAGAAAGGTTGGAGTGCAAAGTGAGAATTTTGGAGTACCAATAACAATTCAAAATCCTATTTGGTGTTCTGTACATTTCAAATATAATCTCAGTTCAACACCATGAAGTAACAACTGTAATATCAGTTCCATAGATTGGTAAGTTGGCTAGAGCAGTATGTGCTTCCCTCACTGAACCTAAGTTTGAATCCCACTCCCCGTCGTTTAGATGAATTTAATGTAGATTACAATATTGTTTTGTCAAATAACTCCTTTATATTGTCCATATTTGTTTGCCAGCCAAATTTGTCATTAAATCGATGTTTCGGTACTCAGCAGTCTCGTCTTCCTTCAAATTTCAGGTATATTTGGCATGAACTTAAGGTCCTACCTTGAAGAACATGTGGTACGTAAAAGTTTGTGAATTAACTTTGTTGATTCTCTTCCCATTTTCTTCCGGGTAATTGCAACATGGCCATTACTTATTGCTTAGTTTGGTGCAGTTCGCATTTTGGTTTACAACAGCAGGGATAGTCGTTGGCGCCGTCATCGGATTTTTTCTTATGTACTCTTATCTCAGGACAAGGAAAATATTGTAAATAGGAAGTGATTCAGTATAGGTAAAAATTTCATTTTCGCTTTATGCACTATGGAGTCCATGAGATTCGAATGCATTTCGTTTGTGTTCTGGAAAGTTAATCGCACCTCGTTAATTTTACAGGTGATTTCGAAGGTCATGAACGTTCAGCTGCCAAACAAATTGATATGTTTGTACCATATTTCTATGAACTTGTACTGAATTTCTCCCACAAGATTTCATCACCGCAGCTGATATCGCGAGTTGAATCCGTTAGGCTTATCTCTAGTATATGCAACAAGTAACGGTGATTAGTGTTTGTGGCCCTGTAATATTTTGGCCCACCTGGATGCTGGATTGTACTAGTGCCCGAGCATTTCGGAAGTAAGAAACTAAGAATGTGCACCCAGAAGTGCCGCTCAGGTCAACGTAATACGAAATGGATTATCAAATGAATATGGAAAACCAACAAAGCTCAACGCTTCGGACAAAAAGGAAAAAAGGAAGAGGTAGAAGAGAAGAACACAGCTCTATAATAGAAGAACAAAACAAACCTGAACCAGCACGTCATGCGTTTAGTGATGAATTTTGTGCAGTTTGGGATTCTTTAACAGGTTTTGAAGATTCATCAATGACTAAATTCCCCATTCCCACCTCCACTGCTTCCCTCTCATCCTTCTCCATCTCAGAAATACTCCCATTCGAGGCCTGAGGCAGCACGCCAGCCATGGAAGGCTCAAGGAGTCGAGGCCCTGCACTAATCCATGGATGACTGAGGCATTGTGCAGCTGTTGGCCTCTTTTCGGGGACAAAATCAAGTATGGGAACAAGGAAGTCTGCCATGTCATTTGCATCTTGCTCGCTGAATGCGTACTTCTCCGTTAGCACCTTATTAAGAGGCCAGAAACGCAATCGTCGAATATGCTTCAAATCCCCATATCGGTTAAAGAAATCCCGGGAATATTTACCGCCTAATGCAGTCTGCAAAATATAAATCCGTGAATACCCTTATTTAACCAGATTTATTGTCAGAAAGTACAATTACATATAACTCTCATTTCTTTCAGTGAGCAAAGTATCATGGTATTACCTTACGGGGAATAGTTCCAAGAAGTTCCATCATCAGTGCAAGGTGATCCTTCACAACGAAATTTAAAAGTCAATATATCAGACACCTAGTTTATCAAATTCATCATAAACTTTCAAAGAAGAAATCACAAATTTGCACGTACCTCATCCTTATCATAACTGTCACCACTGTGTGGATCAAAAAGAACGTCACCAGTTGCTAGCTCAAAACAAACGCAAGCAAAGGACCATAAATCCGCTGCAGTCGAGTATTTTGCTCCAAGAATAACTTCTGGGCATCTGTACTGCCTTGTCTGAATATCACTTGTAAACTGCTTATACGTCCAACAAGCATTTCCAAAATCAACCAATTTGCATTTAAGGTCAGTTTCTACGAATAACTTCTTCCTTGCGGAACGGCTTGCTTTTGCTTCTTGAGTTTCTTCCTTATCTTCACGCTTTATTGATTCATTACTAACTCCAGAATCCTTCACTTGTTCTTGAACAGAATCCCCATTTGATTTTACTTCACTAATAGAATCTTCGGAGCCAACTATTGCGGAATCTGCCTCATTGTCTTCCCTCCCGGCACCACCCTGAGTTGCTTTCTTAGCCTTCTTCCGGATCTTCTTCTTCTGGTTTTTTGTAAGATCTCCATTTAACTTCTTAATGTCTTTAGAAGCCCCAGAGACGGGCACAGTTTTATCTTCGCTGGTCGGAAGGATAAGAGGAGCACCTGATTTCCTAGGATCTTTAGATGGATCAATCATCGACAAAAGCAAGACATTCTCTGGTTTCAAATCTGTGTGTATTATTGAGAGTTGACTATGCAAGTAATCCAAACCCACCAATATATGGAAACAAATTTCTTTGACCATGTGCAGCGGAGCCCCTCGGTAATCATTATACTTAATAAGGGTCAGGAGGTTATCCCCCAGGTACTCAAAAACCAAACACACATGCTGTCCATTTGGGCCTGAATGCTTGAAGTGATCCAAAAGCTTCACAACACACTTCTTATCGCCAGGGTCTCCCTCAGCAATCTGTTTGAGAATCTTTATTTCGTCCATTGCAGCTTCAGTGTAATAACGAGAACTCTTTTGAATCTTCAAAGCTACATAATGCTACAAACAATGAATTTCTCATGTTGTTAAAGGTTTGAATAGTTAAGTTCCTCATTTCCTTTTCAACACGTTAATAAAAAATTCGCACACGCACACACGCAAGACAAGACAGAAAATCTTCACTTCAAATGCTATTAAAACAATTATGGTAAAGTAACTAAAATAAACAACTAGTTCAAATTACTAAAGAGTAACCAATGCAATAAATATGCTCAGAAACCGAAACCCTTACTCCGACTACGTCTAACTCTTCACTATTTGTATAAGCCAACCAATTTAAGTTCGCGGAGTTGAGCCATTCCCCAATATTTTTTTTTTGTTCTTCTATCCCCCTTGCCATTACATTCAAAATTTTCTTTTAACCAAATCGCTTTGCTATTAACTAATTGGATTCATACAAAAAATAGTGCCTCTCCTTTCATTGCCTAAACCCTAATTTCCCAAAGAAGCGTACAGAACACAACATTTCAATTCCACTATTCCATTTTCCCTCGGTTTCTCAGCAACCAAACAAGTAGCACACTTGACAACAAAGACAGATACATACCGAGCTCCTCGTGTCCCAAGCAAGCCAGACAGTGGAGAAGTGGCCCCACCCGAGCTTGCTCTGCACCACATAGCAGCCATTCTTGAAGGAATCCCCAATAGAGACGGCGTGGTAGCCTCCTTTCTTGTAATCCTCGGAGCCCTCGTCCTCCGATGTGTAATCGCTGAGCTCGTCGCGGTCATCCGCCATAGGAGTTGGCGAATTAGGGTTTGATTATTGGGGTATTTGGGTTAAATCTTCAGTGAGAAAACCTAGTGAGGTTTACTGGAATGAGTGCTGACTGCCGACTGCCGACTGCCGACTGCTGACTGCTGACTGCTGAGGGTCAAAATTTTGGTATTGCGGGACAAGAAAGTTGGATGGCAGAACCGTAAACAAAATATAAAAGCCCATAAGACAAATGGGCCAGGCCAGCCAGACTCTACCCGGCCCAAAATATTTGGGCTATACAGATTTTCATTATAAATGAAAATTTGTGTTGGACGAGATATTTGAACCCAATACATAAACCTAATATGAGCTATGCTCTCTTAAGCATCAAAAGACAATAAATAACGGTTGAGATTTAAGCAAATAATTTTAGTTAAAACTTAACCACTCACTAATAAAAAAATGCTGTGAATGCATTCTAATATAACGTCAACCATAAGTTTATTTGGCAGAGAATATAACAAACAAAATTTCATCAACATCCAAAGCCATTGTTTGCGCTCGATGAGAAGAGTTTGGAATGAGGTGAAATCAAAATCAGATTTATGTAGAAAATTGTATACTAAAACTTTCAGGGATCAGAGTTGGAATAGTACCAAACCACAAGTTGTTTACTAATTCACATGAATCGGAATGAAAATCAATGTGATTACTAAAATGCGTCTGTCCTAATAATCTATTTTATATTCATAACTCTTTTTTATTTATTTGTTTTTTTGGTAAATTTTTTTAACTTTGTGAGAAAAACTTAGGTTTTTATTTTATTTTTTTCTTTTTTTGTCCGAGAGAACAAAAATTTGGTATTGGGTTAAGGGAAGGAAACTTTTGGAATTTAGAAATACGTGAGGGTATAATAGGGAGGAAATTTTCATTCAGATTTCCCCAATAACATGGAATTCATGGCTCAATAAATCTATCATCAAAATGAGAGGAACTGAATTGAGAAGGAGCTAGAATGGGGTGGAATCAGAATCAGATTCATGTAGAAACTATATACTCAAATTTTTAGGGATGGTAGTAAGAATAGTATTGAACTATAAGCTATTTACTAATTCACATGAATCAGGATGAAAATCAGTGTGATTTACTAAAACGCGCCTATTCTAGTAATCTATTTTATATGTTAATTATTTTTTATTTATTTATTTTTGGTAAAACTTTATTTTATTTTAACTTTGTGATAAAAACTTTGAATTTTTTTTTATTTTTTATATTTATGCTGAGAGAATAAAATTTGGTGTTAGGTTAACGTGAAGGGCAATTTGAAATTTTAGAAATACATGAAGGTATAATGAGTAGGAAAATTCATTCTGATTCCCCCAATAACTCGGAAGTCAATTCCCACCAAATTGTAGGGAATCCAATTCCTTCAAATTTTAGGGTTGGATTCCAAAAGTTGCATTTGGATTCCCCAATATTGATAAACACTAGAATATTCCATAATTGGAAATTCGCTTTTTTATTTTATTTTATTCCAATTACCCATATGTAAACTTGTCATAAAAGAGTGCAATCTTGGACCAAACTAAACCAAATTGTATTTAGCTTGGATCAATGAGTTTTGACTTGTATGAAAACCTGCATATGTAAATAACAGGCACAAGAAATACACAACAAAACCAAAAGAAAGCATTTTTCCATTTGACTGCCACAGAAAACCACAAATGCTATTCTCAACAGGCTTCATTGTCTAGAGAGTATTGACCACATGGAGAAGGGCATACAAGTTTAAAGATTGGTTTGCTACTAGACCAAGACTTGAATAACAAACATGTGAATACACTTGAAATAAACACATGAAACATGATGAACCATACTTGAAGCGTTCGACGCTAACTTAAGTTAGTGACTTACGCCAAGACTTCAACTTCAAGACCCTCAAATGTTCGAGTTTTTCTGAAATGTGAGCAGAAATTAGAAAATCATCTCCATATGACCTCTTCCCAATTGTTTCTTAAGACAACTCACTTAAAAAACTAGACGAATTTTGCAATCCATAGGTAGCTTAAGTTTATATATCACTGCACCAACTTTCTCCACAACTTCATATGGACCATAGGACGTAGGTTGTAACTTGTGGGGTGCTAGAAACTATAGCTGATATGGAATTAACTTCAAATACATTGAGTCACCAAGAGTAAACTGTCTTTCACTCCTCCTTTTGTCTAATTGCACCTTCATTTTGAGCCACCATTAGGTTAGCTTTGAGCACAGTTATAATTTGTCCCTCTCCAACAAAGTTTGTTCCCTATAATCCACTTTTGTAGTTCCTAACTCTTAAGTAGCTATATGAGGTGGTGAGTATCCTTAAACCAATTCAAAGGGAGTAAATCTTGAAGAAGTGTGATAAGGGGTATTGAAGTAAACCTTGAAGAGGTGTGATATGAGGTATTGAAACACCATTCAGCCCAAGAAGTCATTTAACCTAATTCCTAGGTTGTGCCCTTACAAAA